ATGTCTGAAGTTTTGTTCAGGTAGAAACTACGTGACTGCTTTGGCTTTGCAGTCATAAGAAAGCATGAGTATTGTCCCTTACATTGTCATGTTGATCAGGCGTTTGCTTTGCAAATTGACAATAAAAAGAAAGTAGTGAGGAACAATCAAGGAAACTACTACATTCTGGAGTTTGAGAACATTTCAAATTAATATCAACAAATAGAGTGAAAACCTATGAGAAAATAATAATATACATGCAACATCATACAAACAAACAAGCTGACATCATAGATACAACGATATATTGCCCACAGGTCAAGTGTTTGGTCTGTTCTCAGAAACTGACATATGATAACAGCACATCATCAGTGCTGAGACACAGTGAGCCCAGCATGCTGCATTCTGAGGACCTACTGAGATTTTGGTCTCTGCAGAAAGCTGTTTATCCACATCTTTGTCAGCTTGCAATTCAGTTTTTATGCTGCCCAGCCTCTTTTGTCCCCTGTGAGCATTTATTCTCAAAGACAGGAGAAGTTGTAAAGAAAAACCTGCTCCCAACTCTGTGTTCTTAAAAACTTTTGAGTGGTGAACCATCCACAAGCCTTAGGGCTGGACGGCATACTAAAATAGCAAACGGTAAAAAACCCAGACAGTCAGCTTCTTGGAGGGGGTCGTGGCTAGGCATGAGAAACACCTGAGAAAACAGAAACAAAGTCCCTTGGCAAAGCAGTTTGACTGGTTCTTCAGGACTGCAATCCTGGAAATGTGAGGCAGGTGTGGCAGGAGTCCTATTCATGTATTCACTTTAGACCAGTGGTTCTGAAACAGTACATTTATGAATGTTTTAAAGATGTGTTTTTATTATTATTAAAAAACACATTTAGCTTGATAGTATAACCAACATGTTTTATTACATTATTGTATATTTAGCTCAATAGCGGCAGCAAGCATTAATAAAATTGGCCTACATCAATGAATGTTTATAAAATGTGTTTTATTAGTAATTATTTAAAAACTGTTTACATTTAGCTTGATAATGTAATTGATATGTTTTATTAGATTAACATAGCCTATATTTACCTCAATAGTTGCAGCAAGCGTTTAGATCAATAAAATAGACTAGTACTACGATTTACCAATAAATAAAGATAAAAATGTAAGAAAATGCTTGATATGAACACACCATTACAAGCCAACATGAAATACACTTGTCTTGATATCCAGATTTGGCTTTGAAATGTTTCTATGGACACTATTACTGGTACTGTCCCCATCATATGCTGTTTAATATTATTTTATTTAGCCTAATCTAGCCCATTGGGTGTAATATGAAAGAAACCCAGCCATTAACATAGCCAGAGTAGCCTAGCCTATGCTTATATTTAACATGTTTCATACAATTATCTTTGATCCAGACCCTATAGCATGTCACAGTTTGGGAACGTTTTTTACTGCCAATGACCATTGTGTTGTCTTACTGAATGATATGCAGCTTGCGCAAATTACTGAGGTTCGGACCTCAGTGGCTTCCTATCTGGCTACAGCCCTGATTGGGAGTGCTCCCCAGACAAAGACGTATCCAATTAAGATGAACTCACACGGACAAGCAGGTACAGGATAGCACATACACCCAGATGGGAACTGTAACTGAAGGTGGTCAAGCTGTAATCCAACAGAATGTGAGAGACCTACGAACAAACAGACGGATGATCGCAATCTTCCTGGCTCATTTTTAAAGGGCCCTTTTGTAGTGTTTCCGGACTGAGCTGAGTATTTACAGCCCAATCATGTCTAAAAACCCACCCACTCCTAAAAAAAAACGCCCAAACAACTAAGACTTGATCACCACTCTGTACATGGTTCTGTGCATTTTAAACACACCTACCTCATTTTGTAATATATCACACAGACCCTCTACTACATTAATTGATGTAAGACAGGCAACGTAGGTTGCAATTTTAAGTTCTCTATGTTTTTGCTCATCTTTAATTGTGACATATCTGTGACTAGATGTGGGTACTGTAAAGAACTTTACACTAGGTATGTAGCAGGGTTGCCAACTTTAGTCAGCTGACTGGCATGAGATTTTTAATTTGAGACCAGTCTGCATACAGACTTACAAGGTCTTTTGTCTGTTTCCCATTCCTTTCGGTGCTGCTTCTTGTACCCCCCCCCCCACCATTTATTTGTGTAAAAATTAAAACCTGCCTGATATATGCTAAAGCAGCCCAAAATTTTGCTACCCACCCAAGTCGGTTTTTAATTAATTACAATTTAATTGTACATGCATATGAGTCTGGGAAGGGATATAAAAAGATCTCAAGAGAGTTTGGAATCAGCCATTCCACTGTCTGGAAAATAATTTACAAATGGAGAACATTTAAAACAAATGGCAGCATGGCCAGGGCAGGCCGTCCTAGCAAGTTCACCCCAAGAGCAGAACGCAAGATGCTGAAAGAAGTCTCCAAAAATCCTAAAATGTCTTCAAAGGACATACAGGAAGCTCTTGCCACAGCTGATGTCAAGGTACATGTATTTACCATCAGAAAGAGACAGCACAAGTTTGATTTACATGGGAGGCCTGCAAGGAGGAAACCCTTGCTGTAAAAAAAATATCAGGGCAAGACTGAAGTTTGCCAGAGACATGATGGTTTGGGGCTGCTTTGCTGCAGCAAGACCTGACCAGCTCACCATTGTATAATCCACTATCGAATTCTTTAATGTCAGAATGTCAGAATTCTGACTTTAATGTCAAAATTCTGACTTTAATGATTAAAGTCAGAATTCTGACATTAAAGTCAGAATTCAAATAATATTTTCATGGTGGCCCTAATCCTCTTCCGTAATTTTCCTAAAAGCAAGCTGATACCGTAATGTTACGTCTATGCGTGCACCATACATTTTAAGCGCGGATGATTTGACCGTGTATCGGCAAAGCGCGGATAGCTTGACCACAGTCCCAGCAAATGCTCTGCAAAGTTCATTGAACTAGCAGACCCCACCACAAGCTACTGTTTTGGTATTGTTGAGTTCAGCCACCCTCCGGGTCCGTCATGAGAAGAGATCCACACCAGAGATGAGGAGTAGTTGCACGTCAACAGTTTATTCAGATCGATCTGGGAGCCACACTCTGACATACATTCAGCATGTACAGTAGGAAGCTCGAACCATATTTGTCGGCTCTGTCTCTTTATAGGCCCTCCGGGATGTTCCCCCCCTTCTCGATACTTTTCCATCTACGTGACTACAACATATTTTGACATTTGCTCTAGTTCGTCAGTGAGTACATGTCCCCCCCCCTTTATGTTAAGCAAAAGTTAAAATAAGTATCGCTTATAGGATGTGATCCTGTTTTACAGCTGTCTGAGACGAGGTCACCCTGACCTGCTCGCACACTGTCAGTTCCTGATTTCTGTTAGCTGCATTATTTTAGAATCAACCCCCTCCTTTCATCATGCCCTGCTTTAAGCTATATTCTCCTTTTCCTCTATTCATTGTATGTTCTTTATAATTCTATTGAATCCCACAGTACTATGCGTGGAAACATCGCAAAATTATTTCACCACCTGCTGCCACGACATAATAAAAAAAATATTCTCACTATCACGTTATAACATGCAAATATTACATTATAACGTGAAAACATCACGTTGAAATGAGAAATTGTATCACGTGATAACGCGAAAATATCACGTTATAGCGTGAAACCGTATCACGTTAAAACGTGAAACCGTATCACGTTTTAACATGAAAATATTACGTTATAACGACAAAACCTATCCCGATAGGATTAGAAGTTAAATTGATAAGGGGTGGTGTTATGCCGAAAAAGGCGTCCCTAGCTGTAGAATGCATGCCTGTCTCTGGAGCGCGCACCACTGAAAACAGCGAAAGGAAAGCTCTTTTGTAACTCGTGTAAATGTCAAACGCCTGTTAATATCGATTGAAAAGTTCAAAACAGCAGACATGAACTTGGCAATAAAGTGCTTGTTTCATTGTAAATGTGTAGCAGATGCACGGTAACACTTCTTTTCACAAAAAAAATTAATGTCAATCTTTTTAAAACGTCCGGGTATCATTCTAATCTATGGCTAAAATAAATCTTTTCACTTCTTTTGACAGGGGTAGAATGGAAATGTTTTTTGTTCTTGGAAAATTCTACTTTACTCCGGCTTTATTTCATGGATTTGATTACTTTTCGCCTCCCCACAGCCTCTCTTCTGGCTGTTCTTAATATCCTAAATCAGACTGGGAGCTTCACAGGATAGGCCTATAAATTAAACTTTCATAAAAGTGAAGTTTTCACTAATTAGCTGAAGAACTCCCCCAAATCTCTGCTTAATAGAATTGTTTGTCCTTTTAAAAAGACTGCAGAAGGTTTCAGATACCTGGGGGTGTATTTATTAAAATGTCACTTACTGACATGTTTGCTAAGAACCTCCTCTCATTACTACGTGATCTGAAGTTACACTTTGAGTTATTCTGATCAACCTACCAAAATTTGTATACATTTTTCAACATATTCCAGTTCTTATTAACAAGTATTTCTTTAACTTGAACCAGCATGTATATACATTGTTTTCAGCCAATAAACCTGCACATATTGGGAGGGCAGCTCTCCAACTCCCCAAGAGAATGGGGGACCTTGCAAATTTTAATTTATAGGCAGTTAAAAAAACTAATAACATCTATCCATCCATTTTCTGTAACCGTTTTTCCTATCCCAGTGGTTATAGATGCAAGTCAGGGAACAACCCAGGATGGGGTGCTAACCCACTGCAGAACTACGGGCAATTCCAAATCACCTTAGCGTGTTTTTGGACTGTGGGGAGGGATCAGACTACCTGACAATGGTAATGACAACACAGGAAGAACATGCAGAACTCTACACACATGGAGCCATGGCAGACACTCAAACCCTGGTCCCAGTTTGTGTAAGGCAACAGTGCTAATCACTGCACCACCACAAATAAATATTAAATATTAAATTCCATAAATAAATAAAAAGTAATACGTACCTATTCTGGTAAAGTTGTGTGAAAGAAGTTGGATTAACGCTCAGATGTAGTATCCAGCGTAACAGCTCCTGTTTCAAATATAAAATATGTCAAGAAAACGCCTTAACAATGCCTTACCTAAAGCAAGGGAACACCCTGTTACTGACTTACTCATATCTGCTCCACCCCACATGTTCAAGTCATTAGTGACAGCAATGTTAATGCTAGTGACAGCAAGCTAAGCCTCGTTGAAACGCAGTTGAAACTATGTCAAAAATATGGTAAACACTTGAAACATCCAGTGAAAATGGAGGACATCTATTGGTCAAAAGGTGCATGACAGAAAACAATGAACCATAATAAAGGACAGACTAGAGTGTGGTTTTCAAACTCAGTGTGCCCAACTTCGATGACATAAACATTGTGTTGATTTCTGCATTTCCATATACTTTTATGACATGTTATAATCTGATTATAATCATGTTATAATCTTGTATAGCAAGTGTGACAGACAATTGTTGGTTTGTGGCATATGAATGTGTGTAAGTGGTTAAAGGCATGTGTAGTTGGGCAGAGGGTTATTTAAAAAGCTGCTGCTGCAAACCAAATACAAAATAGGAAACCCATTTGCCAGGGCCTCTTCCCAGACTATCATTTATCTCCCTTATCCATTCAACAAACAACAACAAATTTCTTTTTGTATAACATTACATCGTCTCAAAGCGCTTTACAGCATCCCAACCCAAAGCCCCCAGTGAGTAAGCCATAGGCGACAGTGGCAAGGATAAACTCCCTAGAAGGAAGAAACCTTGGGAGGGACCAGACTCAAAGGGGGAGCCCATCCTCCAGGGGCCGGCAGGGAGAGTCAGATACAGTAAATTTTGAGACACAAACGGGGAGCAGGGGGGGAGATGGCAAGCCGGTGCCAACGCTCCCTCCAATTGCCAGGCAACCAGAAGGCAGGGAGCGGGTCATACAAGGAAGATGACACAGGCAGAACGGCAAGTTGGATGCACAGACGTCATTGGTAGAGGCGACGTCACATGTACTGTAGCAGGGTGTGCTGGACATCATGATAGAGTGAGGGCTCCAGGCAGCTCCCCCCAGGAGAAGTAGGGGAAATAAAATATGCAATTAGTCAAAGTAGGGGAGACTATAGGCAGTGCTAAAAGTTAGATGAGTGCAATATGAAGCACAATGTGCAAGCTCCGGCAGATATGGCTATGGCAGCATAAGTAGGAGAGAGAGGCAGGTGGGAATGCAGCCATGGGGAGTCCCTGAAATGTCAGCACTCCAATCCCACAAGCGATTGTGAAGCTAGAGTGACAACACTGTCAATTCAGTTTATCCAAAGTCAATGGCACCGATCCCCACCCAGCTCTACACCTCACACTATAGGTTTAACTGGGAGTGAGAAGTTAGCTAGAGCTAGAACTAGTGTCCCTATAAGCTAAACTAAATAGGTGTGTTTTTAATCTAGACTTGAATATTGAGAGTGAGCCTGAAACCCACACATCCGGTGGAAGACCATTCCACAGCTGGGGAGCTCTATAGGAGAAAGCTCTGCAGCCTGCCGTAGCTCTTTCTACTCTAGGTACTAACAGATATCCCACACCTTGAGAACGAAGCAAGCGCGGGGGGTTGTATGAGGTCAGCAGATCACTTAGGTATTCTGGTGCAAGGCCATTCAGGGCTTTATAAGTTAATAGCAGTATTTTATAGTCAATCCGAGACTTAACTGGTAACCAATGAAGGGAGGATAAGACTGGTGTAATGTGATCAAATTTTTTAGTGTTTGTGAGAATTCCATTTTAATGCTATCTGTATTTGTATGACAACAGTCCTGTAATTTTCTACATAAGTAGGAAATCCTGAACTCCGAACGTATGATGTCTTAGACAGCTATCCAGTTCATTCCAGTTCATGTCATTTCGAAGTTGGTGAGATATATGTGTTAAATGGAGATATTTGGAGGTATCTAAAAAGTGATTCTTTTGCAATCTATACTTCTCTACAAGATGCTGAAATTAAGCAAAAATCCAATTCAATATTCCATTCCAAGTATACTGTAGGTCTACAATATTACATGTGCTCAGTTCTCTCCAAGTATCAAAGGCTTTATCCTTTTGTAAGGCAGCAAATGAAGGATTTGCTGATATTGGCATAAGAGATAATGTCCTGAGCTTAAAATGTTTCATAATTTGTGACCAGATCTGGACTGTATACTGTGGCCCCTTTTCCACTCCACTGGTGCCAGTGCTGGCACTGGGGCTGGTGCTCGGCCAGTGCTGAAGTTGGAAACCAGCAAGAGCCGGCTTGCATTTCCACGGACTTGAGAGCCCAGTGGGAACCGGGTGACAACACTGCACCCACGTCACAAACCACGCCCACTACACAGAGCAACAATGGCGGAACACATGTTATGCTATCAGATGATGTTTCAAGCTTTGCCCACATAGCAAGAGGAGTCTGAACTGGATCTGGGCCAAATGTTCAGAAATTGCCGCAGATCCGTAAACCAGATCTGGCCCAGCGTCTTTTTGCACAACAGACCAATACTGGTCTGAATCCGCTTTCTGGATTTGAAACAGATAAGGGTCACATGTGGACCAGAGTGACATTGAATGTTACCAAATCTGGCCCGTATCGGCAACACAGTCAAAAGTTAAATTCAGAGCAGCTTCCAGTGGCGGCAGTGAGTGGCTCTATAGGCTAAGCCTCTGTGCCTGAGATCCAAAAGTTGCTGGTTCAAGCCTCAGCAGAGAACACTGCACATTAGGTGGCCCTGCTCTTTGACCTCTAAGCTGTAAACACAATGTTTCTCTTACACCTTCCCCATAGCTTAGAAGTCAGACAACATGCAGCACCCCCAGAGGTGGCGTTACCCCCTGAAAGGCCTTGCTTAAGGGTCCACAGATATGCAGACATTCCACCGGGGCCACACGCCAGCCACACAAGTGCAGGTAAGATTCAGGAGTAGAACTGGTCGGCAGTCAGTCTAGAAAAAATGAGCCTGTCATGATCCGATCGTCCGCTCCTCCCGTGTGCCACGCCCCCTCGTTAACCCTGTGTGGATTCCCTGTGTTTATCAGCTGTTACTGATTGTTGTCATTAGTTCATTGTATTTAGTCCGTGTTTCTGTTTGTTTCCCGAACTTTTCTGTAGTAATGCAACAATAAAATCAGGTGACTAACGTACTTTTGGTCATTCAAGTGCAACTTCCAAAGCCGCTGTTTGCATGATGTGGTTGATCTAATCTTATTAATCTAATTTAACGGTAAAAAAACTTTAGAGTTCAGTGTCGTAAGATTAATGTTTAATTCATAATTAGTCATTTGTAAAGCAAGTCTTGGTAAAGTTTCAGTAACATTGCTAATTAATGCCAATCTGTTGAGGTTGATTTAAACCTAAACAATTGTTCGTTTTTTGTTGTTGTTTCGTGTTTATAATATTAGTGCTGTACATTGCCATGGAGGGGGACCTAGAAACATTCATTAGGTCAAGAGGAGTACCGGAAGACAGTATAATGCTCATGAAACAAGACAAGGTATGCTACGTTACATTTTACAGATTTAATATTAGTATAAATTAGTATCACTTTACCGCTGGTTATGAGACAGTGTACGCCCTAAGCAGCCGTTTGCAGGGCGCCAGGCAAAATATGCTCAAGGATTTTAGGATTATATCCTCCTGAGACCCGAGGGAAAAAGTGTCCTTCAATTTTAGGTTATTTGTCTTTGGAGGAAATAAGACATCTTACAATTTAGATTTTTTCAAATTTATTTTTATTTTTAATTTCACAGCATGATTCTAACAGGTTTGGATGCTGTTCAACCGAATAGTTACTTCAGCATTAGTTCAAATACAAGAACTCGTGGCCATAGGTGGAAA